TGCCCAGCAAGTTCCACCTGCACAGGAGGAAGAACTTGTTGGCTGGGCAGGGACCCAGCCCTGAGCAGATTGGCCAGACAGGGGGGAGTCTCCTCCCTGGGGACATTCCAGAGCCCTCTGGACACAATCCATGTGCTCTGGGCTGGCCCTGCTGGAGCAGGGAGGTGGCACCAGGTGGGACACTGTGGGTCCTTCCAGCCTGACCCATCCTGGGATCCTGCACCTCTCCAGAACAGTCAGTGTAAAACACAACCCCATAAAACCAAGTTCTCACACAAAGGCAGATCCCAGAAATTCCCTTGGCCATCAGCACCTCAAGGAGATTGACTTGATTGCTCAGTAAATCCTTCAACATTATTAGACCCTCTAGGAGAATTCCTTTCCTAAAGCACAGTTCTTTACCTGGCAGGGAGGGCTGAGAACTGGGATTTGGTTATCACTGGGTGTGTGAGAACTACATGATGGGCAGCCAGTAATAGGACCTCGGTTTGGGTCTGGAAAGAGGGAATGCTGAATCCTGAATTTTAAGGATTTAAAGGATTTAAATGAAATTTAAAAGTTTTGAGGATTTAAATGATTTCAGGACAAAAGGGGCAATACAAAGAAATCACTGGATGGAGGAGCCCCACCAAGAGCGTTGCTGAGGGAAAAGAGCAGCAGTGGAGGGCATGGAGTGACAGGACAAGGGGGAAGGGCTTTAAAACGAAGAAGGACAGGGATAGATGGGATATTGGGAAGGAATTGCTGGCTGGGAGGGTGGGCAGGCCCTGGCACAGGTTGCCCAGAGAAGCTGTGGCTGCCCCTGGATCCCTGGAAGTGTCCCAGGCCAGGTTGGAGCAACCTGGGCTGGTGGAAGGTGTCCCCGCCCATGGCAGGGGTGGCACTGGATGGGCTTTGAGGTCCTACCAATCCAAACCATCCTGTGATGATTTTATTCTGTGATTACATCCCAAATCCCTCAAGAGAGAAGCACGTGAGTAGGTGCAGAGCAGCGTCTCCATCTGTATCCCATTTCCAGGAAGGGAATGCCAAGACCCTGCCAAAGCTCTTGGAAGACTCCAGGACTCGGGGGAAGCTCTGAGCAAGGTGCCAGCTGGGGCCTCTCGTCTCCAGGAACACTTTTTACACATCTGGAGCTCCAAATTCTCTTGGTTTACACCTTATTTTGTGCATTTGCTTCCCCCTCCACTCACACAACCCCTTCCTGCAGTGGGAAGTTGCTGTTTCTACGCAGTGGGATGAAATGAAAAGGCAAGACAATAAGTGCAGGAGAAAATCCTGACTCCCAGCTCCAGTCCTGCAGCAAAGGGGATCAACACAGAGGATTTTCAGCCATTCAGCAGTTTCTCCACTGCCCCTCCAGCACCTGAAAAGCCTTGGTATGTCATACCATGCCCTCAGAGCTTCACTAAGAAATTCCACATCAGCAGAACAAAAGATTTTTTTGTTCAGGTTAAAGAAAAAAAAAAATTCAAGCTAGATGGGGAGAAAAAAAAAAAAAAGGAGTAAAAATTTGCCATTTATTTAACAGGCAAACATTGGTTTCATGTGGAATACATTGGGAAAGGTTAGTGCTGAATGTTCTTGGCACTAAACACTCCTTAAAACATGACAGGGGAATAAAAATGGGGAAAAGTTGCTCAGGTTTAACTCAACACAGCATTAAAACTGATCTGTTAATTAGTGGGCAGGAGGAAGAGCCACCCCTTCCCAAAGCACCCAGGGGTGCTCCAGCCACGGCACTAATGATGGTGCTAATTAACATTAATGACAATGGTCAACTTTTGTCAAAGCACGTGGCAGCTCTGGAAGTGGATTTTCAGGTTATTAATAATTTCACTGCCAAATAGGGCAAAATCTGACCCTGTTCTCAAGGTGAAACCCTAATTGCACTACGAATTTTTGGCATCTATTCCATGAAATTCAAGCTGGGTTTGACTCTCCAGCATCAAATCCCTTCCATTATTCACGTGGGACATCCAATTGTAGGAGGTTTGAACCCACGTGCAGCCCAAGATTTCCTTCCTGGCAAAGGATTTCACTCCAAAAATAAAAAAAAAATAAAATATTTGGGGACAACAAGCAGAGCCAAATTTTACCCTGTGTTTGGTCAGCTGGGGTACCCCGTGCTGTGGGTGCACAAACCTTCCCAGCACTCCCTTGAAATCACACACTCCCTGTTTCCAGATGCCACCCACATTCCACCACGAGCCTACAGGAGCTCCAGAGACATCCTAAAAATTAGTCTGAGATCTTGAAAATCACAGGGAAGCACGAAGCACTCAGGACTGCAACTCATTTCTTCTTGAGATATTTAATATGTTAATCAGCAAGAGCCTCATCCACTGCTCGTTGAAGTCCATGGGAGTGGTTCCTCCAGCTCCTGGGAGCTTTGAACTAAGCCCTAATTGATTATTAATGTGCTGGACAAGATCTTCTGCAAATAGCTTTAAAATTTACAGAAGGGCTTAGCTGTGGGGTCTGAGATGGAGAGAAAGTCTCACAAAGCCCAGTCCTGATCTGATTGTGCTTCCCTACAGGAATAATGGGAGGCTGAACCCCACTTCCTAAGCAGAAATATTTTTAGAGTATTAAAATCAACATTTTAATAGTAAATTAAAAATAAACCAAATTTTGGCATATTTTGGCTCATTAAAATGAAGACTCCTGGCAGAATATGCTGTGACAGCAAAACATGAATTCCCTGGGGAGTGGAAGAAAATCACGAAGTAGATAAATGAGGACTGGGAGGAATGGGGTGGTTTTACTGGGATGTCCTAAAGCTCCAGCCCAGGGTCCTGCCTGGGACATTGGGGGGGAGTTTGCATTCCCAGTCCTGCCTGAGATGTCTCCTGAGGGTTTGTGGAGCCCCAAGTTCCACTCTTGGTCTCCACATCTGCCTGTGCAGTGATGTCCATGGCTCCCCTGGGCTCTGTGGGAAACAACACCCTTCTTTTTGTCTCAGAGCTGCAGATGGGCATTGAGTGCCCTGGAAGGCACGAGAACAACTCAAGAACCACAAGAGGAGGCTCAGGGGAGACCTGAGAGCCCCTTGCAGGGCCTGAAGGGGCTCCAAGAGAGCTGGAGAGGGATTTGGGATAAGGAAAGAGGGACAGAACCTTGAGCTGAAAGGGGGGAGATTTAGTTTGGATATTGGGAAGGAATTGCTGGCTGGGAGGGTGGGCAGGCCCTGGCACAGGTTGTCCAGAGAAGCTGTGGCTGCCCCTGGATCCCTGGAAGTGTCCAAGGCCAGGTTGGAGCAGCCTGGGCTGGTGGAAGGTGTCCCTGCCCGTGGCAGGGTGGTTTAGCTGCTCTCACAGAATTTCCCTTCCTTTATCCCCCTGATGGGAGCAGAAGAGTGACAAACGACACCCTCAGCTGCCAGCCCAGCTCTGCCACAGCACTAAAGCAGCTCCTGCCATCCATGGGATGCAACTGAGAGGGAAATGCTTATAATTTACTTTTTAAATGCAAGGAACAACAAATGCAAGGACAGTTCTTCATACACGTGAAAGATAAAAAGGTAAAGAAATACTCACGTAGATGAGGATTCACTGGAGCTGCAAAACAAAGCAAAAATAAAATGAGCAGAAAGAAAAAATCTGATTCCTCAAAACACAGATTATCCTAAATTTCCTGTTGTGCCCTTCCCTGTGGCAGGGGTGGAATGAGATGGGCTTTAAGGTCCCTCCCAACCCGAACCCTTCCAGGGTTCTGTGATAAAGAGATGAGCAGAAACAAGTGAGATGTTCAGCTGCCCTGCTTGGTAACCCCTGGAAACTGGTTTATTGTGGTAATTACAACCAGCACCCGGATTAATCAAGATCAAAGTCCACACCCCTGAGCACCTGGCTGGCACAGGAAAAGCAACATTATCTGCAAATATCAGGACTTCACATGGACAGGACTTATTTCCTCCCATTACAGCAATTATTCCCCCTTACTTTTGATAATGCTGGATCAGACTGGAAATGAGTGTCAGTGCAAACTAATAATTATTATCATTTAGGCACTGTTTGGTACCAGTTTCTTTTTCTGGGGCTGGAAACAGGATGATGATGATGATGATGATCATAATAACAATAATAACAGCAGTCAATAATAACCACAAATATGTACTTTTCTTTCATCCAGAATCTGGGCTGTGACTAAAACTCATATGAAAACAAGCGAGCTGGACCACAAAGCAACTGGTCACCATCATCTGTGGATAGAAATCATCATCATCATCATCAATTTGTTCTCTCTGCGAGCAGGGACAGGACCCTGGAATGACTGGAGCTGTGCCAGGGCAGGCTCAGGTGGGATCTCAGGACAAGGCTCTTCCCCCAGAGGGTGGTTGGCACTGAACAGGCTCCCCAGGGCAGTGGGCACGGCCCCAAGGCTGCCAGAGCTCCAGGAGGGTTTGGACAACACTCTGAGGGACAGGGGGGGATTGTTGGGGTGTCCTGGGCAGGGCCAGGGGTTGAACTGGATGGTCCCTATAGGTCCCTTCCCACTCAGGGTATTCCATGATTCCATGATCCAGCAGCTGCTCTTACAAGAGGCCAACTCTCCAACCCATCAGAGCATTCACATTACCATTATTGACATTTTTTTAACATTTAAAATGAACTATTATTAACATAAGGGAGTTAACTTCTTCAATCTCTGGTTAGCTTTAAAAATATTTAAGTGCACATCAAAAAAAAAAAAAATGAGCTTCAGTGTTTTCACCTCACACACTGAAGTGTTTTCACCTCACACACTGAAGTTTTAACGAGGCTTTACAGCCGGTTCACATCAAACAGCTGGCCTGGATTTACACAAAGTGGTGGAGATGACGTTGGAACTGCTGCTCCAGGATGTACCTGCTGTTACTCTGAGCCATCTCTGGTTACTCTGAGCCATCTCTGCTTTGAATTACCCTCCAAAACGCTGATTAGAGCTCCTCCAGCTGCCCTGCTTGTGTTTCCTTGACAGACTGTGCTCACAGCACAGTAACACATGGAGCTCCCGAAGAACTTGCCAAGTGATGTTTGGCTGGGATTATCAGTGTCACTCCCACTGTGAGAATTGCTCTTTTCTCCCGTCCTTCCATGTGCAGAGCAGAGAATAACTCGTGGCAGGCTCGGGATTTGCCTGGGAAATCCTCGTGCCACGGGTGGAGTTTCTGATTCGCGGCACTGGAAGCTGCAGAGGTTTTATTTTGTATTTATGGCTCCCGCTTGGGACGGCAGGAGATGCATCAAAAACTAATTACTGAGGTTTCTCTGCTTTAGTAGTCTCCCTGTTTGGGGTATTCAGGTGGGTAGAGCACTGGGAGCTGTTATTTCTCTGTGTTATTTTTATACATTAGCAACTTCCGTGGTCATTCCCAAATTTTCAAGGCAATTTCACATCCAAAGGTGTGTGACCCCATAAACCTGAGCTCACAGGTAGGATTAATGTGGCCTTACATAAGTGGCCTACAAGCTAAGACACCTCATCTTAAAGTGTAACTGGAGCAGTTTTAAAGCCCCTGGAGGGATTTGGGCACGTCCAGAGGGTGGAAAAAACCTGGAGAAGCCTTTTCCTTTTGAATAAGCAACAAACACAGTGAACGCTCCAGAAATATCCTGTTGATCCTTCCACACTCCATAACTGTCCTACAGAAATCACTTCTGTGTGGCACCAGCTCCAGTTTGTCCTCCTTAAGCTGTCAGAGTAAAACCTGGGCACTGCACGGTCCATTTATCCTCAATTTGCTCAGGAATCAGGCTCAGCTGGGAAAGTTAATGCATTTCTCCAATGCAAAAGCCACATTTTTAGCCACTCTCACCACAGAGTGTCTGATCTGCTTTTCCCCACTGGCTGCATTTCCTTAAGATGGGGCGAAATCCCATTAGGCTGCCGAGAGTCCAGAGAAAAACAAGGCAAAAAAAAAGATGTTTGTGGTGGGAATCCTCAAAAAATACCAATCCCTCAGGGCGTTTCAAACCTGATAAATGAACCCTCTCACCCTGAGGGTGATGGAGCACCAAAAAGGCTGCACAGAGAGGCTGGGAAGTCTCCAAGGCCAGGTTAGGTGGAGCTTGGAACAAACTGGTCCAGTGGAAGGCGGGCAGAGGTTTGGAACAAGATGGTCATTAAAACCCTTTAATCCAATCCATTATGGATTCCAGGACTCTGGGACAATTCCCTGAGTCCTGGCTCTCCAAAAAGAGAATTCCTGAAGGGGTGGGGCAAGGAAGGAGGACTGGCACTGATGGAGGCCAGTCCTGTTGAGCTGCTCCAAACTGAACACGCAGGGACACACTCGCCCCAAATCCCACTGAACACAGGAAAATGCAAATCCCCCCCTCCTGGCCTGAGGTCTCACAACTTAAATGCTCTTAATTCTTTTCAGGAACATTCTCCTGCTGCCTTTTGTTGCCTGGGTTTTGGACAGGATGGCTCCTCACACTGCTGTGGGTTGGGTGCTGTGCATCCCCCCCAGCCCACTGACTGCTTCTCCAAGATTCCAGCTTTTCAGCTGATGACCATTGGATTTGCCCTGTAATAAGGTGTGTGAGATCATTATTTCCCAGATGGAGCCATAACATCCATAACCCAGCCTGGGGACAGTTTGCTGGCACCACTCAGGGGAGGGAAAAAAAGGGGATTTTAAGCACACAAAGCCTCAGTGGCTCTGGGATCCCTCCTCAAAGGGAAGTCACCTCTTTGGGAAACATCTGGCTCAGGATTTGTGAAGCTGGGAATTTGTCAGCTCCAAAAGCAGCCTCTTCCCCCCTGCTGGGTGTCTGGGTTTGGTGCTGGCACCTCCTCAGCACGGGGGGCTGTTCACGTCTGCACCGGTGGCAGGGAGCAGCAGAGACGTTGGCAGGAGACAAAACACTCCTTTTATGCTGCCTGGGAATGTTCTCCCTGCCAGGCAGGGGCTGGAAAAGGGAATCACAGCATGTTGCAGTGAAACCCCCCCAGCTCAGTCACGGCCGAGACCTCAATCGACCTCCGGAGAGCTGCCAAAATACTGACACCACCAGGGAGGAGCAGCAGGGACTGAGGAACCAAAAGGGTGGTTTTTCTCTCCTTATGGGAGCACTGGTCAGGGCATAAGGCATGGGGGGAATTTTGGGGTCCATGGGAGAGGGCAGTGGCTGGTTGTGAGGACAAAATCATCCCCATCACACATCTCCAATCCCAGTGTCCACTGGAAGATAAACATTTCAGATAAATCCCCAGAGAGACTGGGTTTGCTGCAGAGAAACCCCAAATATCTGGGTGAAGCTCCTGGTCCCGACTTTTGGGAAGGCTCTGAGTCTTTCCCTTGTGTGTGTGCAAAGGGACCAGACTCCTACCAGCGTCAGGAGACAGGGACTGGTTAGGGCAGAGGGGTCCAACAAGGAGCCAAAGTGCCACAGGCACTGTAGCAGAGCCTCCATCTTCTCATTTTTGTGTCCATAGATTTAAAACCAAGTCATCCTTGTTTCTCCCTTTTATTCCCATCCCTGGAAGTTTCCAAGGTCAGGCTGGATGGAGCTTGGAGCACCCTGGGCTAGTGGAAGGTGTCCCTGCCCATGGCAGGGGGTGGAATGGGATGAGCCTTGAGTCCCTTCCAGCCCAAACCATTCCATGAGTTTGTTATTCCAAGTCCTTCCTTTAGCTGAGGTTTTGCCCTGGGGAGCTTTGGGAAATGTGGACTTTGCAAACACTTCCCTGTGGCAGGTGGAACTCGAGAATCCCCCATCATTCAGTGAAATGGGCCCCTCCACCCTTTACAATTGGTATTTGAGGGGCCTTAATGTGATTTTTTTTTTCCCCCTTGACATTAAAACAGTGATAAAAATAACTGCTGGTGAGATTGAGGAGGGCTGAGCTCATCACTGATCACGAAGAATTGCACATGGGATGCACCAGACATTCAATTTTCTTTTTTTTTCAGCTTTGTTCCCTCCTTTGTCCAGTAGTGATTTTGGAAAGCAAATCTTGATGTGTAGGTTGGTTTGAGGTCTCCTGCTGAGTGGGATGTCCTGCTTTGGGCTCTCTGGGAGCGCTAATCAGTGCTGGATCCAGCTCCTGGAGCAACTGGAGCTACACTTGGCCTGTGTCCACAGGGCTTTTTCCCTGTGGAATTGCCAACATTCCTCATGAAAGGATTGTGGAATGGTTTGGATTGGAAGGGACCTTAAATCCCATCCAGTTCCACGCTCTGAGCAATCTCCTCTCCAAGGTACCTCCTGCCCTTCACTGCACTTTTTACAGCAGAAAAACAAACAAACAAAAGAGTCAGTTATTCACTAAATAAATACCCTGAGAAAGGTATTTTGAGGGGTTTAACAGAGGAATTAATTCCTGGGAATACTGGGAGACTGCATGGAAGGATGTCCAGAAACCTTCTTTTTCTTGTTAGATTCAAGTGGACAAAACTTGGGGATTTGTAACCTTTCAGAGGAAAATGTGCAAATGCCCTTTGTGTTATATATCATATAAATTTATACATTACAGAAACTTGCATGGGACTAGAAACAGTCACCTTCTTAAAAGAACACAATTCACAGTAAAATAATTCACGTGAAAATAATTAACACTGAAATAAAACCTTCTCCCTAGCGCTCACTCTGAGGAGGAAAAAAAAAGGCATTTTGATATCACAGCGCTGTTTTGACAACTTCAAACTGTTTGTTTTGTGGATTTTTCTTCAAAATGCATCATCCTTCAAAGAGTTCCGAGTAAGAACCAACTCGAAATGAGCTCTCAGAAATCAACACTAATTTATTCTATTTTCCCCTTGATTTCAAAAAAAAAAAAAAAAAAAAAATGGATATGATTTTGCATTTTGTCTGTTCAGATGTTTTCTGGCTGTTTGTTTTTTGTTGTTATGAACCTTCCCAGTGGTGAAGGCTTTAATTTCTACTCAATTCTACGCCACCCCTCCTTCCTGGATGATGGTTGATGGATTATTTCCGGATTGGGAATGTTCAGCCCCAACAAAACACTTCCTTGCACACCAAAGTTCTTACCGCTGTATTTGATGACCCGAATCGTGGAGTCCCCCTCCCCAAATCTGGTGATGGGTGTCAGTCTGACCTCGTAGGCCTCTGGCTTGATGAGCTCGGTGAGGTTGTAGGTGATCAGCTCTCCCTTCTGGATGTTCCCGTTGACGGAGATCTCCTGCTCCCACCAGCGCTGCTGGCCAGCCTGAAACCACAGGGACAATTCCAGGGTCACAGGATTTTGGGACAGGTTCTCTCCTCACCTTAAAAACGAGTGGGAATGCACACACAGACCTTCAAAGCACCCAGAAGGGTTCCAGGCACAACACGACCAAGAACCTCCTCTAAATAACCCCCCTGGGCGTTTCCAGAGTGAACAGATGACACCAACAGTTGGGAATCCGTTTCATCCTCCTGTCCTCTCCCCACAGAAGGCCCTGCCCCAAGCCTGGCACAGCCCACTGGCACTGGGATGTGCTTTGGAGCAAGAAAAAAGCAGAGTTAACCCAATTCAGGAGGATTCTGGACACTCAACACCCAGGGACAGCAAGGGATCATCACCTGGTCTGTGATGGCAACCCAAACCCTCCAGAACAAGCTGGGGCATTTTTAAATCCTCACTAAATCCTCGATTTCTTCAAAACCCTCCCCCTTAAGTTTAAACCCTGCTTGTAAAAACTGTTAAATAACCTTTATTTTTCCTCTCAACATTGCTGCTCGTTTAATCTCATCCCATCAGCTTCCCCAGGGGGAATTTTCTCACTCCAAAATGTTATTCCTTCCAGCCTGAGCAGGTAAATGGACTCCCAGGGCTTGTATCCCCATTCCCTCCATGATTTTAACACAACATTGGTCAACTGCAAAGGAAAATGTGTTTTCTTTGCTGGGAAAGCCCCGATTTCATGGATGGGGAGGTGCCTCCTCATGAGGACCAACGAGTTTTTGAAGGAATTCAGAGATAAGAGTTTGATTTCCGACCACTTCTGTTGATGAGTGAGGAAGAAATAAGTCATTAATGACCTTAATGCATAATTACCAGCAGTCCCTGCAGTCCCACAGGTGGCTGGATTTCACAGGACAACCAAAGTCAAAGCAAACAAAAAGTAAAAAGCAAAGTCAAAAACTGCAAACCACAGGTTTTTTTTGGGGGCTAATTCCATGAGCTCTCCATATATTCATGGACAATTATTCATTACATTTTATAATGTTTTATGTTTGTTTTTTTTTTTTTTCCTGGCTTCCATGGCAAAAAAAACGCCAGGAATTAGAACAGAGCTGGTGGGAAAAGGGAAAAAAAAAAAGGTGTTGCTTCCCATGAAGAAATCCCAATATCCAGGAGTGGCTTAAGAGGCACAAACTGAAAGGAAAAATCAAATTGCTTTGTTTTCAGAATGGATAAAATATTGGAGCTGCTCTGTTGCTCCTGTTTGGGTGGGGGAGAAAAGGGGGAACAATTCCAGCAATGGCAGAATTTGATGTGAATTCGGGGCTGGTTTTGGGTAATTGTGAATTTGAATCGTTAATTCTTGGAATTATTTGCTGAAGTCTCTCTGTTTCTGCAGTTGCTGATCCAAAGACAAGGTGTAATTGGGAATATTTTCACAGCAGCTCATTGTAAGGAATCAGAAATAATTCTGGAATCTCAGGAATTTCAGTATTTTGCCACTCTTGGATATTGGGATTTTTCCATAGGAAGCAGCACATTTTTCTTCCCCCTTGCAATCAACACCAGCTCTCTTCTAGTTCCTATTTTTTTTTGCCATGGAAGCCAGAAAAAATCCACAAAACATCACAAAATTGTCATTTATTTGGACAGCAAACAAACCTCTGCCTGATTTTTCAGCTCAGCTGTTGAATAAATAAATAAATAAAGGAAACATCCACCCCGTTTTCACCACATTGCACTTTCAAGCTTTTCTCTTTCCACCTGGAAAATAAAGCCATCCAGGGAGGAATCGCTCCAGGACATCCCTGTGGGAGCCTTTCCAACACATTCCCAAATCTGGTGTGAAACACCAACAGCACCCTCAGCTGAAAAATCTGGAAATAATCGACAATAAAGGTAGGAATTGAGCTGAAAAACAGAAAAATATTTGAAAATAAATATAAGTACTGAGCTGAAAAATAGTAAAA